GGGGGGAAGGAAGGAAGGTAAGTGTCTGTGGGTATGTCTTAGAACTCACTTGGTTAGGTCCAATAATGGTATCAGCAGAATGAATATGTGGACAAATGAATATTGGACCTAACCAAGTGAGTTCTAAGATCAAGAACACATATTCCTGCGCATCCAGAAATATAATCTATGCTATCATGTGCCGAAAGTGTCCATCTGCTATGTACATTGGACAAACATCTCAGACACTTCGCCAAAGGATTAATGCCCACAAAACAGATATCAGACAAGATCACAAAGAAAAAACAGTTTCTTGCCATTTCAACCAGAAAGGACACTCTCTCAATGACTTGACCACCTGCATTCTGCTACAAAGACCTTTTACATCTGCACTTGAAAAGGAATCCTCTGAACTGTCATTCATGTTAAAATTCGACACTTGCCAACAAGGACTTAACAAACACTTGAACTATCTCACCCATTACCAAGATAGTTTCCCCAATTATCACCTCTAATACCATTAACTCACAAACATCCCACTCTCCCTACCCCCCCCCCCCGCATCGCCCTCCTGTTCTGCAATGTGATTTGTCCTTTTCATATGTGTTCATTTTTTTAAACTGTATCCTTTGGTATATATGGTTGTGACTATTTTCTTCCGCTATTTGATCTGAGGAAGTGGGTCTGGCCCACGAAAGCTCATCTAATAAACCATCTTGTTAGTCTTCAAAGTGCTACATTGTCCTGCATTTTGCTTCAGCTACCCCAGACTAACACTGCTACATTTCTAACAGCAGATGAGAGATTAATTAGGATGAGCTTTTGTTACTGAAAACTGGAGATGAAAACATTGTGGTGTAGTTTTTTTTACAAACCCACAGTTTAACATAGTTAAACTCAGAATTTGCAGTTAATTAAGGACAATTTTCAACTAACAGGAGGAAACAGGAAGCAAAAAAAAGGTTAAACTCTTGAAGCACTGAAGCACAGACTGGAGTAGCTTTTCATATCATTTGAAAGTTATGTCATTTTGCTTTATTTTGATGTTAAAGAGAGACACTATGAAAATGACTATGAAAAAGTATGGTGTTTTAAAGACAATGGAGTGTAGTAGGAGAATCAATGGAGGAAAGTGGCTAATAACCCATTCTTATCCATCCATCAACTAGATGGTGCAGAAAAGCCAAACAAGAGAGAGAGTTGGAAATAACGTTTCAGTGATTTGGACTTAGAGAAACTCCATTACTTTCTTAATTTTATAGAAAAGCAATTATTTACTGCAGTATGTTGGCTTAAAAATGACATGTAACTTAGATAATAAGAGCATAAATAACCATAAATTACAGCTATGGCTAGTGTGAGTTCAAATTTTGTAACCTTTGTATTCTGCACAGTGTACCTATATTTTTGCAATTCTTTACACCACCTACTCCAGCCCTCTGGCAATGGAGGGTAGGGGAAATAAGAAACATTCCAGGGGCTGCAGAGGCACAACCAGAGACATGAGCATCCTCATTGGAGTGGCCCACAGGTCCAGCCAGTGTAACTTCGATTATATGGGTAAACAGACATGATCGCTGACAGCACTCACCACTTTGATCACTTTTCTACAATTCTTAGCTTCTGCTTTATATGCAATACTATTAACTTCCCCTTTTTTCCATTTGTTATGCTCTTGCTCTCGGTACCAACAGGAGATGTGAGGAATTGCTTATACAAGTCTGTTTGCATTTCTTCTGTTTTGTACGTTTCCTGGTTCTGTACTGATTATTTGTATTATCCAGTGACCATCATATAGGCCCTTTGTGACTGCCTGCTGAATGGTTGAGGTCCAAACAAGAATGGAGCAGTGTAATGTTTGGCAGCCATTGGATGCAGAAGTGACTTGGTTTCATAACCTAATATGACAGCTGGATTCTGACAAGCCCAGTGATTAAGTATGCAGCTATAGCCATATTGCCCTGTCAGCTTATACATCCAGAGCAGGATCCAAATTTTCAAGCCTCCCAGCTGAAAATTCCCCATGGTTCTGGAGCCCGCAAAATAAAGCATTCAAATTCCCTGCTGCACAGCATAATCACACCTTTGAGAATGCACCTGTAACTCTCTTGGAGCTTCTGTTATCCCATCTGTCAAATGTGGATATAAATACTTAAAATTACCATGGCACTGTGGGGCTTAATTTATTAATGCTTATCCTTTGAGATTCTGACATGAAAGACAGTATATGCATGAATTACTGCATTATTTCAAAAATGTTTGGAAACACTAATAGGACCAAGTCCAGAAGAAGATGGTATTTTAAAAACAGCAGTCATTAGGCTCCTTTGTATATTATTTTTCTGAAGGACCAGCCAAATCCATTTTACCATATTGGATGTAATATGTATAATAATTACAGCAGATGCTTTCGTTAAAGTGAACTAAGTGTTGCTTTCCAGTCCCTCATAAGCCATTTCTATGAACAAGTGTATGTTTTTCTTTCCAACAGTGGAAGCTTTCTCCAGTAAATGAACACAAGGATGCCATGATTTCTCTTGAATGTAAACTGTAGCAACAAGGTTTCTCATTACAGTTTTAAGATCTCAGAATTTACATGATAAGCCTCTTTTATGAACTTTTGTAAACTGGCTAACCAATTCACTCTGGACAGAAATGTGACATATAGAAACAGAGCAGGAATACAATTTTAAACAATTTCTAAATGAAAATGTTATTGTTCCATAATACTTGTTGTTCTTTGATTTATGAATTGAATGCTGAAGAAAATGAGGTGCTGATTAGAATGACAAAGCCATGCATAGCACAATGATATGGCAATTTTAACTGCTCCCCTGTCTCTTTCTGCATCTTCCCTATGATGGGCAGTTCCAAAGTAGAAAACCTATCAGCATAAACAGCCACTGTCATTCCAAAAAAGAGCAGTGATTTTATGAGATGAGAACCATCAAATGAATTTAGATTTATAGAAATCAGACTCATGAATTACGGTATTTTAGATATTTGGCCCAAAGTATTCAAACTTGGGTACTTAAAGTTAGGCACATATGGCAACATTTAGTCACCTAATAAAGCAGCATTATTGTCAGATGTCCAACAGCAATAGTTCTCATTCAATGGGAACTGAGCTACAAAGAATCTCTTGGGGAGGGGGGAGGAGGATGGAGTGAATTATTTAAGTGACTAACTTTCCAACTTTGGTGCTAAATTTAGGCACCCACATCACTGTGTCTTAATATTTCTGTAGTGTCCACAATGCAGAAGACACTGTAAAAACACTAAAAGAGCATGTAAACTAAAAAGCTAAGACTAATAATGAGGGAAGGATAGTCATTATCATGTATTGTACAAGCAATGCACTCTGAGTGATGACTGGCATAACTGTCAGTGTTCTGTTTTGTTTTAAACACAGAATATATTAACTCTCAGTATTGTCAACCCCTAGATCTTCAAAAACCATACACCAGGCAACCAAAATTATGAAGGAGGGTTTAAAAAAAATTGGTTTTAAAATTAAATTTTGGACTCAAATTGCCTCTTGGTTTTTGAGTATAGTATTTAGGGAGCACTTTACTTCTGGAGCATTTAACTCATGTTTTGCAGCTTTTCTCTGAAACAAGGAGGGCTTTAAATATTTTTTTAAATGAAAGCCAGGATTCTCAGGTAATCACATGCCTTCAGGTTCCACTAGTGTCAGGGTGTGAGATCCTCAAAAGGATCCTCAACTAGTTAGTCCATAGCACAGTTTAATACGGTATTTAAAATGAACAAGACTGAAGGTTACTAATACACATGCAGTAAATCTTCTCAGTAAATGTTTCAGTAGACATTTTGGCATGTGGCTTTAGCATGCCTTCATGGCAGTCAGAACTATATCATAAATCTTAATAGCTCCAGTAATAGCTCTAATTTTTCTTAATATTTTGCTTTCCCTTTTTAAACTCATGCAAGAAATTTCCTGAAACAAGAGTGACTATAATGGGGGTCTTTATGTATTTGCCAATTTCACAGACCCTGGAGTATTCCTTTGTACTTCCCAATGCTTAAAATAGAAAATACCCTGACTATTGCAAATATTGCAGTTAGCTTACTGCACATCCTTAGGTCACAAGAATTGATACTCTTTTAAGTACCCACCACTGTGTATTGAGGACTTAAGCAGAGGAAGGGAGACTTGGCTGGTGTTATGACTAGTAGCAGACGCTGAGCCATTGTTAATATAGTGGAATGTTACGGGAGCTACTAATAACAATCATATCCCATGAATAAAATAAGCTTCCAAGGTTAAAATAATTTTATTACACTTGACTTGGGACTCATCAGAACCATGGGCTTAATGGAGCAAGAGAGATTTGATTTATATGTTCTACCATGCCAGTGCCAAATACATCCGGGCTATGTCTACATTGCGCATTCTTGCACAAGAAGATATGCAAATGAGGCATGACAATGAATATTGCCTCGCATCATTTGATTACCTAATGAGTTGCCATTTTGTGCAAGGTTCTTTTGTGCAAAATCCCCCTCCTGTGCAAGAGCCGTTCTGCCACTTATTTTCAGGCAGAATGGCTCTTGTGCAAAAGTCCCTTGCGCAAAAATGGCAGCTCATTAGGTATGATACTCATTGCCGTGCCTCATTTGCATATCTTCTTGTGCAAGAATGCGCAATGTAGATGTAGCCCAAGGGGATACAATCCTCCACAGTGGCCCAGCAATGTCTTTTAATTCCTGTAATGGTCAGAAAAGCAAAAGTGGATTTGTAAGAATGGTTCAGGCTGCATACATCCCAGCACATTAGGCTGCTTGGGAAGAATTGTCTCTAAAGGACAATTTCCCTATCACCACCCATGTAGGGGCGCTTAAGCGCAGGAGTCTCAGTTGCATGATTTGTTTTCTCTTTCTGGAAATACATAGCCCCTAGTGAATGACGCTCCCATCACATGCTCCTGCCAAAGTAACTTCAATATTAGGATGCACCATAATGTAGTCCAAGCCTAGTTACATTAAATATTATAGATGGTTTGTTTGCACAGTGGCAGTATCATAGCCAATGTGATACATTTGAGGCATGATTAGTGCTAGTTGGAAACTTTTACCAATACACAGCCACACTGGCTTGCAATGGCATTGGCAATTTTGGACAGTCTCAAATGAGGCTGATTTTTACAGGGATGGTCTAGATGGTACTGGGTCCTGCCATGAGGGCAGGGGACTGGACTCATTGACCTCTCAAGGTCCCTTCCAGTTCTAGTGTATAAATGAAGGCAGGGGGAAGAATTAGTGTCCAAGTCATGATGTCTCAAGGACCAACAGAGGTATAGAGGGGACAGGAACTCAGGAACAAAAAATAGCAGAGGCACCAAGCCTATACCCTTCAAGGTAGCTGCATAGTCAGGGATGGCTGAGTGGGGTGGGGCAGAAGCACCAGTAGCTGCAGTGCTGTGCTCCCTTCCACCCCTGGCCAAGGTACAGCAGAGAGGTTGTGCTCTTTCAGGTCTCATTACTCTATGAAAATGTATCAGTAAACAAGCCAGAATCACTGCAGGGGGAAGTGTAGCATCATACTGGCTCTTCCCCCCCAACTCACACCTCACTAGGGCTATGTCTAGACTGCAGGCTTCTTTCGAAAGAGGCTCTTTCGAAAGCATCTTTCGAAAGAGCCTCTTTCGAAAGATCGCGTCTAGACTGCAGGCGGATCTTTCGAAAGAGCAATCCGCTTTTTCGAAAGAGAGCACCCAGCGAGTCTGGATGCTCTCTTTTGAAAAAGCCCTATTTACATTGACGAACGCCTTCTTTCGAAAGAGGAACTTTCGAAAGAAGGCGTTCTTCCTCGTGAAACGAGGTTTACCGCCATCGAAAGAAAAGCCGCGTTCTTTCGAAATAATTTTGAAAGAACGCAGCTTGAGTCTGGACGCAGGGGAAGTTTTTTCGGGAAAAGACTACTTTTCCCGAAAAAACCCCTGAGTCTGGACACGGCCTGGATGAGTAAGAGATGTAGCTGTGTTAGTTTGGTCTTGCTGAAACAAAAGACAGGACTATGCAGCTCTTTAAAGACTAACAAGATGGTTTATTAGGAGACACTAGATGAGTCACTTTAGCCCTCTGTAGAGGCTCACCAAAGCTAGCAGGGTTGCTGCTTCACCACTTTCACAGGGCAGAATCAGCCTATGTAATAATACTATTGCCTTTGTTATCTTTCCCCAACATTTATGCAAATAAAAATCACTAATAGGAGGGGTTATGAAAAAACAATAAAAGAATCCAACATTTGCCCATTTTCTGCTATATTGGACATATTGAACATGCCAGTTAAGTGAGTGAAGATTTACATGAAGAAGGTTAAAAATAGACAGATGGCACCTTCCTTTTGAAATTGATTTAAAGGCCTGATCCTGCAAAGTATTGCATGTCTCCTGTAAAATGCTTCTAGTTCCCCTCAGGTTCCATTTAGAGGTTGATCGCACACAGCACTGTGAATGATATAGCTTTACTGCTGTTGTAAACCATGTATGTACAGGCTATCCCACAGATGTTTGGGGGACCATAGTTATTGTTACCTTGGATGTAATACTAATTCATTAATGTAACCTGACACTTGATATTTTCTTTTTATGATATTATGGGATTTTAATATAATAAAAAAGAGATTATGCAAGTATTTTTCTTGCTCATACTCATAATGGATTTAATAAATACTGGCATTTGACTGTAGCTTATATACTATGCTAGAGATAAGATTATCAGCTGTTTTACAATTGCAAAGGAAATGTATTGATAAAAACTACACTTACTCTTGTCAGCAACATCTGATTGTGACAAGTCTCTGACCAGCTACCTGTTTATGCCTAACCTTTTAGGTAGCATAAAACCATCAGCTTGTGTCCCTTGTAAAATAATGTTAACGATAGAATATGGTTAAAACGTTCACAAATTTTCCTTTGCTTATACTTTAAGAAGGGCTCATTCACAGAAGTTATATTTTAGCAAGAACATGTTCAGTTTTGCAGGATGACCTATAACAAATCCTGAATCAGGATGTGCTTATTGTGCCATCTTCAGGACATTACAGGAATATAGTTATATTGGATTTTCCACTCTTTCTATACTCCAACAGGAGAATTTTCTTTGTTGTATACATTCTACTCCTGGGATGTGCAAGACGGGTTGGGAAATTATACATTAAATAAATAAAAACTGTTACCACAGCATAGGAAATAGTGAGAAGCCAGTCATTAGTAAGAGGATGGCAAAAGACTGCAATATGTTTTTTATTAACTTAACATATATTCTGTTACCTCCAAAGAAATGAGCAATTATTTCAGCTGTATTAATATTATATGATCAGCGATTATTATGCCATCTCCCTGCACTCGAATCCCAGGTGCATAATCCCCAAGTCAAACAAGGAATAAAAACTGGAGTTCACCATAGAGACATACATTAACCTGCTTGGACTGAAGCTTATATATGTCCCACTCCCAATTAATTTTACATTAGCAATATAAAAATACTATTAATTTCCAGTACCACCCAGACATTCTATGTACTATTCTTATCTACTAACCCCAACACACTCATACTTCCAGTGCCAATTAAGTATGTCCAGACCAATAACTGTAAAGGGAACTCTTGTCTGTGAATTGATGCCTGTCTACAGCAAGACTGTTCTTCATTTACCAATTAGTATTTAAAACAAGATCAGTGAACAGTCACCATGTTGTTGGCATCTTGCTCATATGCCATAAGAGCAAACCTTTACCACTCCAAAGAATATTTACCCATGGGGATGCATCCCACCAAGCCATGCTTTCTCAATTGAAAAACCACTCAATGGCAAAAAACAAATGAACAAACAAGCAAGCAAACCTTTGTTACCACTAAGCAAGGTTAACTCTGTATTCTGTCATTTCCTCACTCTTCAGGTTTCCCACGCAACTTTTACTCTGCCCTCTTTCAAAAATGCCTCTTTAAAGCCCTATTAACACACATAACTTTGTACTGGCAACCCTAAAATTGCTGAAGCAACAAGCATTTTACCTCCTTTTACAACTCATGCACTCACTACAGGTTTTTATCTACAACTATTAAAAGACAATGGGGAAAAAAAGATGTTTCTCCCGCCTCCTTCTTTCTATTCTCCAGCAGCTGGCCATAGCAGTGAGAATTATTTGCATGCACTTCAGGTGCACTCAGCATGTTAGGTGTGCTATTCTAAATGGAGGAGGAAATAGTTGGTAAAAATGTATTTGTGATATGAGAACACATAATTTGAGGTGCACAACAGAGTTGTGGTTGGGATATGGGGATCTCTATTTTTGCACCCTTCCATGTGTGAACAAAGTCTAGAGGTGCATGTGTATCTTCAGGGTGCAGTAGGCTTCATTTCTATGCAAAACAGAGTCTTATATTGGTAGCAGGGCATAGAACTTTTATTGAAAAGGTGATTGCCATCAGTTAGGTGGAATATAAGATGGCTCTAATGCTTTAATAACAATTAGGTGAAAGTGTACATTGACAGACACCCTGAAAGGGACTTGTAAAAGGCTGTGAAGCGATTCTGAATTACATTGTGTATGTGGGGGACATTGGCAGGTTTGTAGGCGCCATGCCTGCAACCTTCCTGAGCCTCCAACGTTTCTCCTTCCCACTATAAACCATTCCTATTTGTCCTGCTTTCTGCATCCCCAAACTTTTCAGCCCTATTTATCAATTGCTCTGTCTCCAAATTCCCGTCCACTCCCAGGAAGCATGACTAATTTTTTCCTCAAAAATTTGCATTACATTCCTCTCAAAATAGAATTCCTCACCCATGACTCACAAATTGTGCCAATCTTCAGCCACTTGGTCAGAAACCCATGTGTCTTTGGTGGGAGCTTGTAATTAACTTGTCCTTAGTTATGTTAATTGAAGGATGAGTTCACAGCCATCAGATTTAATGAAGTCTGTTATTAATCCAGTCATTAGTACCTCTCAATTTAATAGTACAAAGCAGCAGAAAGAAACGGAGGGGGGTCTATAATTCAGGAACCACTTAGTCCCAAACCTGGCTCACTAATGCTATCCCATGTCATTATAAACCATACCAAATTTAAAAGCAATCCACATAACCTTCTAGATTATACAGCACTTTCAAAAGTTGAACTTTAAATCATAGAAAATGGCTGGGTTTTTTGCATTGGCAGATGCATTGGGTGACCATATTTCCTTATGTTGAATGTGGGGCATGTGGTAAAATTATTCATGCTCAAGTGAGTTCAATGGCAATCAACCAGAACTATGCCGTGTAAATGTTCAAATTAGCATCAAGTTGATTGAGCCCCTATTAAACATAAATACTGCTTGGCTAGATTCTTTTTATTTACCTTGGGTATGTCTACACTACCCTCCTAGTTCGAACTAGCGGGGTAATGTAGGCATACCGCACTTGCAAATGAAGCCCGGGATTTGAATTTCCCGGGCTTCATTTGCATAAGCGGGGAGTCGCCATTTTTAAAACCCCGCTGGTTCGAACCCCGTGCAGCGCGGCTACACGGGGCTCGAACTA